AAAACAATTTTCCTTAGTATGCAACTGAACACTTGGAAGATCTGTAATGTGACCGAAAGCAGAAGATCTTTTACAATTAATTTCCTACTTGAAAACCTCAGGTTAGGGCAAATCAGATGTATTCTGAAAACCTGATTCAGAAGTTAATTCTTCTTTTTAAAAAATGTAAATTTCAAAATATTTAACTTTTGTTTCCTTATGGGAATGTAACACCAAAATTAAGTTTCTTCTTGCATGAGTAACTCTTTTGACTGTGATTGATCCAGTCACCTTTTGAACTAAGTATTTTAAATATGAAAGCCTGACTAATGCAGATAAGCTGTATGCATACATTGGAATCCTATCTTCTATGCAACTTTTTTTTCTGGCAGTTGTTATTATATAATCACAGTCTTGCTGTTTAGGAAACTGAGGCAGAAGGAAGTAGCAATATTTGCCAAAGGATACATGGCAAGTCAGTGTCTGTAAAACTATAGAAGGCCGACATTGTCACACATTCATGATCCTTCTTCACAAACGCTCTATCCTTGCTTATTTTCTCTTTATTTCACCTAGATTCAAACAAAAATATCAGTTTATTAAAACAGGTCAAATATTTATGAAGATTTATAGCAATATTTCCATAAGTGAAGACAGATATGCAAAAGAAAATAATGAAACTACCTCAATACAATTGGAAGTTTAAAGCTAAAACCCCCTAAAGGTTAAAGCAGTGCTCAGCTCTGCCAAGCTGTGCAGGCAGTTTACAAAGACAGACTCTAATGAGCAATTAGAGCAATTCCTGCATTATTTATTCCTATATTGTTCTGGTATTTCCAGAGACCATCGAAATAAAAAGTCTCCTACCACTCAATGAAGCTGTGGCTGATGGCTGTGCCAGAAGTCTGCCTGTAATTATTCTGAGGGAGTTCACTACATTCTCATGTGATGTGATGTGACATACAAATGGATTGCACGACCCCCTCAGAATTTGAAATTTTGAGACATTTGTTCATAGTAAAGAATCACATTTGCAGCTTTCCACTGTTCAGGTGCTCAGCAGTAATACTAATGGTCTGGCACGGGCAATTCTTTAGGGTGAGCTGAACGACTCGAGGATCCATAGACTAGGAAGGTTAGACATTAGATTCATATGTAATCTACACATAGTCAGCTTTTTGGTCTCAGGATGGTAAAACAGATGGAGAGAACTTTGTTCCACGTAATATTTGTGGAAGAAAAATACTTTTATTTCTATCTAAATTTGTTAAAACACAACTGATGTATTTTTAGTTGTAAATATCCTAAATTCCCCTGCTCTTCTTATGGACAGAGTGAATTTATCAGGGATGTAAAATATAAAATGTGACTTCAACTAAGAGATTATGTAGTAATCTTTAAAACAGGTACCTTGTCTGTATCTTCATGAGCAAGAATTTTGGCAAAAGATGCAAAATCAAATTCAAGAAGCAACTAAAAATTTTACTGGAGAAAGAAGTCAAATTGAGCATGGCTTAGTAGCAGAAAATTTCCAAAAGAAAGGAAAAAAACCCACTAGGAAGAACAGCACATTCAGTGCTCATGGAGAAAAGGAATTAATTTTACATGCAACCACTGCTGCATGTAGTATTTCTATAGCAGCCGATTTTAATGAATATCACATGGAAGCAGTAATTCATTCTAGGGTTACAAATGACCTGTTCCATGTGACAGTTGTTATCTAACCAAATTTGACACACCTGGCAGAGATAGACAAGGGCATAATTTGACCAGTAGACACTGCAGTTGTTGTATTGTAGCTAAGTCTCAGAAAGCACTGTGACTTAACAAACTCTCTTTGTGAAAACAAAGTATTATTCATGTTGCCTCTGTGAAATACAGCTTTTTGCTAGGGATATTTGATTCTCTCTGGTCCCTATATAGGTGTAAGTAAAATGCAAATAATGCAAGAACATTTAATACAGTATCAAGTCCGGAGCAGAGCTGTGAAATTTGCTGCTGTTCATTGGCAGTGGACAATAGATGCTGCCAAGGCATATGTCCAACGTCTTCTCCGCTTGAATTTGAGCGTGGATACTGGTAACCTTGTGTACTTTTGCTTACAGTTCAGTTTCTTGTGTCAGATTTAGGTCAACCACTCTGTAAAATGGAAGAAAGACAGGGAGGCTGTACCAAACACCTCACTCACTAGTAGAGATCTGACTGGAATTCAGACACAGTGATGGCACTGAGAAATGACAACAGCAGAGAGACTCTTCAGAGACTTAATTTGGTGTTTGGCACATCAGTTACCATTTAACCAGCTGAAAGCAGCCACTGACAGCTCTCACAGCATGCCAGGCAAATGTATACAGAAACTGAAAACAGTAAGAGTCTTAAATAAAAGTTATCAACCATTAACTCCTTAAGTCAGATTCTGCACAGAATTGCCAGACTAAATTGAGTGTGGAGAAATACCAAAGACATTATTAAGAAATTTATAAAAGTCACCGGGACACAAGCGTTTTTCCTTCTTTAACCCAGGTCCTTCTAAACATGGGGATGGCTTTAGATACAGCAAAGTGAGTGTGTATAAGGAGTCAAGGTCTAGGCTAGGAGGAAATATTATTTTAAGAAATGTGCATTGGACTTAAAACAGTGTAGATTTTTTCATACCAATTAGCAGCACCCGTTCTTCTGATCTGATTCTCCCAAGAGCCTTTGCCAACCCCAACTCTGTCCACTCCATGACTTATGGCATTATTATATTATTTTTGTTGTAATGCTACCAAAAATGCTCTTTTGTTAGAAGACCATATTTGCTCACATAACAGCTGAACCTATACACTGTATGAAGTCATTACCAGGTCCCCTACTTGTGATAAAAAGATAATTTCAGTTTTAAAACAGATAAGAGGACAAGAATGCCTAGGAAAAATTGTGGGTATTACATAAACAAATAAGTATGCTCCAGCAAAATGTCAATTAGAAGCATCATTGTGCTAAATGAAAATGCTTCATTTTGCTGTAGAAACCATACCCAATCTTCTCTGTGAACCCACAAAGACTTAAATCTACTTTGTTGCCTGCTGTTCATATCTGAAGTAACAAGCTCTACCCTAATCTGATTCCTCATGTTCCTTATATTTTCAATGAACAGTTATACACTGCTGATAAATTTTTCCTAAGTCTCTTTTTCTGTTAACTCAAAACAGACAACCATTCCATGTTATTCATACAATTTCTCTTTAGATATTCTCTTAATTCTATATGAAAAAAATGCTATTTCAAATTTCTCTTAGTACCAGGAACAGCAGTTGTTTCATATTGCTGATATTGTTTTCATTTTGTAGAGATGTGACTCAGCATCACATTCTTTACCATTAGGAAATGTTTTGTAATTTCACTTTATGATATATCAGTAAAATTTTATCTTTCCCTTATTCGGCCCCTCTGAGATTGGCTTGCCATAAAACTCATTCGTGCGCTGCTGCCATAGTGTTGCGCTGACTTTTCCACTGCCCAACACACTTATCATTAATATAAACCCCATTAACTCTTACTCCCATCTCAGCTAAGAATCTGACTGAAAAGCAAAGACTGAAATCAATTTCTAAGTTAAGGAGAAAATAAATGCTTGGGCAAAAATTACCTTGGAGGGGGAAAAAAAAGCAGCAACAGCTGTTGCAATTATTGTATGAAATTAAGAGTATTACAAATGCAAGAAGTACAGACTACAGCTTCTTTAAGATGGTCAGACATTCTAGTTCAAAAATATTGGGGTTGTTCCTCCTAAATTTTTGTACCAATGCGAATGTATGACTACACGTGTCACCTTTCTTTTTGTCTGTATTCTCAGCAGCTGCTGAACTACTTCTATCCCATTCCCTAATGACAGAGTCAGATATTGCTTCTGTTTCTCTTTCACTGTATAGTTATGTGGCTGATCTGTATTAGTACATTTGCAGCATCTTGTTGTTCTTATCTCCAGAGCACCTGGGCCCAAGAGAAAATAAGAAAGAGGAAGCAAAGAGTGGTGCTAGAGGGTGACGTGTAATGGCAGGAGAAAACTAGTTCAGCGCGACTGAGAAGAAACTGATGCACGTAGATTGCAGGGTGAATTAGGTGGATACGGAAGCTTAGCAGAACACGGGTAAAGATTTTCACTTTAGCCCCTGCTCCCAGGGACTGCTTTATAATTCTCAATCACCATATAAAGACAACAACAACTCTTATTGACAGCAATGCATTTCAGGTAAAGAGAGCTGTGCAAAGGCAAAGCTACGGCTTTGAATCTTCTCCGTCAGGGAAGGGCACTGAGCTGAGACTCCCATATTTTCAGCAAGTGCTCTAACACTGACCTACAGAAGAAAAAAGAATGTACTCCAGTTTTGAAAGCGGTTATATATATTATGGAAAACTAAACCTGAATTCTGCAACTACTTAAGATTTCAGAGGCAAGAGGCAGGAATGCTTAGTTTGGATTATCCTAGCAGGATCTATGCTCTGAGCAGCTTTGCCCTGTCAAGTCTGAGGTGCTTTCTGGACATGCTGAAGATCTTCTGTTACTTTGGAAACTTTAAAGTTCAGTATTAAGGGAAATATGGTAACTTTTCTGGACTTGAAATTTTGAGGATTTAATTTGGATTTATGTGTCTGCTATCCCCCAAGTCATCCTTTTACATCTCAGTTCACAACCATACACAAGAGGTAAACTTAAAATTGTTTGGATTTTTGATGCAAACGATATTGCAACTGTTCCTATGCTTTTTTAGGCTTCAGACTGGCAGCTTTCCATGCAATCAGATATCCATGGGTCAGGCAGAGCTTTAGTGGTGTTTCTGAGCTAGTTTTCAGAACAGGCACCATATATCTTATATATTGATGATAAATAATTGAGATATACAGATCTGCTTTCACTTTGCAGGAGGTCTAGGGTTAAAATAGCAAAATTTGCTTATGTAATAAACCAAGAAATTTTCCATTTGCTCTCTAACAGCAATAACACATAGAAGATTCACTCATTGGCACATGTATCAAGATACATAGAACTCCAATTTTGATTTATTCAGAAAAAAATAAAAAAAGATGAAAAATTTGTAAATAATACTAACAGTATTTGAAAAGCCAGCATTCAATTTTAAAGCTAAAATTTAAAGGAAGACAAACCAATAAAGTTAACACTTAAATTTTATTTAGCATTCACTTTCTATATTTGTCCTGTAATAATAGCTATGAGTTAAACTGTATTTCGATATTAGTGAAAGAATAGATTTTTTTTTTGTCTTGCAGAAGAAGCACTGAAGGTCAGCAACTGTACTTCAAAATTTCTCCCAACTCTTGTTCTCTTTACACAGGAGCTGGTTTAAGACACTGCTCTGTTTGAGAGCTTTTAGACTGGATATATCTTCGCTTACAACAGGGACTTCTTCACTTTGATCCTCAGTTATCACATCTTCACTGTCTGACAGCGTGCACAGGAGTGTATCATTTTCATAGGTAGGAAAATAATACCTGAAAGTAACAAGACGTAATTACTAGATAGTCACATATTTTGTTCGAGAGGCTGAGATGACATTTTTTAATGAGACTGGATTTTTAAAAAAGGAAAAATGAGCAAGTCTGGTTGTCTGGAATGACAGTACGCAGAACACCCAAAAAATCAACTGGTAAGGAGTCCTTCTGCTGTGCCTTTTGCAACTGGACTTGTCTATCTCGTACTGGCCTTTTTAGCCTCCAGTGCGCTTGTAACAAATGTGGGTACAGCCCTTCCCAAATCTTCATCCGCGAAGCCCAGCCATGATGATGTACGATGTATCAGTCATAGAGAAGAGCTGACAACTGACAAGCCTTTCCCCTCTTTCTTCACCCATATGTTGTCATAACTGAGACAGCAGATACAGATTTGTCCCACAACAAATGCTGAACTGAGGTGTTTGAGTTAGAACACTCCCTGTGCTCTACTACCCAGTACAGCACCATCCCCTGGACCTATATAGCCTACTTAGAGTCTGAACCAGTGTTTTGTTACATGCTATCTCTATTTTCTGTGGAAAAAATTATGGGTAAACAATCAACTTGTTTTGATGCCTAAAGTTAGGTAGACATCGTGAATACATCTACACTAGACACGCAAAAGAAGTGGTTTGATGTGGTTCTAGAACAATTTTGCAACAACAGACTTCTCTAGTATACTGACTTTAAAATGCAGATCCCATATATGGCGACAGCGCATCCTGAATGCAACTAGAAGAGCATTATCTCACATTCATTTTAGCTTCAGACTGTAGAGATTTCTAATTCCGAGTAGTTTTGAGAATACTTATTATTTTATCTGGACCAGTAGAGCTGGGGACCTCAGGGCACTGTTGTATTGGCAACACTCAGAACTTTTGACTTACTGTTTCACAGATATTATCAAGTAAAAGTATAAATGCTGAAAGAAATATGTTTGCCCTTACTGTGGTTGATCCCATGTAGATCTGGCTGGCAGGAATGCAATGTGTTTGGTCTCTTCCATATGACTTATCAATACCTCTTTGGACTGAAATTTCTCCTGGCAGTTGTAACAACGACAGTGATGGATTTCTCTTCTGATGAAATTCACTAGCTTTACTTGCTGATAAAAGTTCAGACCTGGGAGAGATGGTAGCAAACAAACACTTAGAAAATGTAAAACTTAATCTAAAAATGCTTTCTTGGATTAAGCATAAAGATTGATAAGAGTTTATTGAAGACCAGCACTGCCTGAATGCTGTAACTTAGCAAAACAACTGAACAAATGCTTTTTTCTACTGCAGGGAAACTAACTCTTCTTTCAATGTAAAATCTGCAAACACTTTGCTTCTTCTCAGTCTAAGTCTCTAAGTCTAGTGACAGAGCTCCAGGGGGAGGCAAGTAGGTTGAGGAATATCAGGGAATGAGAAAGAGACTGACTACTGGAATTGCATCCTGCCTGTCCCCTGGGACAGGCCCAAGGGGCAGACAGGATACATGATATGGAGGATTTCCTGTCTCCCTCCGCCTGCCTGAGCACAGCGACTTAAGGGACAGAGGATAATGGCAACAAGTCCCTGCCCTGTGAGGCAGGCATGTCTTCTCTGTGAGTGCCCCACCTGCCCAGGTTCCCCAGAGTAACAAGTATGAGCCTCTGCAAGTGGAACCCAACAGTGATGAGGACAACAGTTCATCCAGCATGAAACTGTCACTGGGGTTAAGTCAGCCTATGCCCTGGATGAAAATCACTTCCATAAAGAAAAAAAGACACATCATTGTCATACGAGACTCCCTTTTGGAGGGAACAGAAGGCCCAATATGCCAACCAGACTCACTTCCTGGGGAAGTCTGCTGCCTCCTTAGTGCCCGGGTTAAAGGTGTGATGAGAAAGCTTACTACCCTCATGGGTAATTATCCATTATTGATTTTTCAGGTGAGCAGTGATGAAGTTGCAATAAGAAGTCCGAAGGCAATCAAGAGAGACTTCAGGAGCACAGACACTATTCTCCTCTGTGCTTCCAGTTCCAGGAAATTACGAGGGAAGAAACAGGAAGAGCCAGCAGATTATTATCTGGCTCTGAGCCCACTGTCACTGGAAGAATTTGGGAGTTTTGATCATGGATCGGTCAACATGATCCCAGGCCTGCTGGCAACAGACAGGGTACACCTGTCTCAAAGGGGGAAAAGGATCTTTGCACAGGAGTTAGCAGGACTCATTGAGACAGCTTTAAACTAGATTTGAAGGGGGAAAGGGATAAAACCAGACTCGCTAGAGACGAGCCTGGGGCAGGATGCCAGTGTGTGACATTCAACAATGAGAAGTGCCGAGTCCTGCACTTGAGACACACAACCCCATGCAGTGTCACAGGCTTGGGGAAGCTTCCTGATGGAAAAGGAGATGGAGGCATTGGTTGACAGCCAGCTGAACATGAGCCAGCAGTGTGTCAAGGTGGCCAAGAAGACCAATGGCATCCTGGCTTGTATCAGAAATAGCGTGGCCAGCAAGACCAGGGCAATGACTGACCCCCTGCTTCACCTGAAGAAAAGGAGACTCAGGGGTGACCTTATCACTCTCTAGGTCTACTTGAAAGAAGGTTGTAGCCAGGTGGGGGTTGTCTCTTCTGCCAGGTAACAAGCAATAAGAGGGAGGTTAAAGTTCAATATTAGGACAAATTTCTTCACTGAAAGGCTTGTCAAGCATTGGAACAGGCTGCTCAGAGAAGTGGTTGAGTCACCATCCCTGGATATATTGGAAAGACATGTGGATGTGGCACTTATAGGGACATAGTTTAGTGGTGAACTTGGCAGTGCTGCTTCAACGGTTGGACTAGATGATCTTAAAGGTCTTTCCCAACCTAAATGATTCTGTTCTACAGCAGAAAGCAACACTGGTCAAACAAAGCTTAGAGTACAGCCTTCTAAGTTGCAAGCAAGTATTAATAGGCATAATAACAGTACTACTTCCAGGGCTCCAGCAGCCAGACCTGGGACTCAGAGAGCAGGTATCTGTAGAAGCCACTCTGCGAAAGAATCCAATGGTTCTAAAGAAAACAGCACACATCCTTGGCACTAACAACAGTTCCATAAAAATAAAGTGTCCTTGGCTTGCTTTAGTAAGCTGGCAGAAACAGTTTCCATAATGGAAAAGTTAAATGTTCATGCAAAAATAAAACTGATAAAGTTGTTTTCCTCTATTCTTATGATGTGGTTTTCTCCACACTAGTGGCAAACGCTGACAATTACAACACCTCTTACTCACCACGCTCTGACTTTATTTTAGGAAAGTCAAATCCATGTGATTTCTGGAGGAAAAAAAAAAAGAAAAAATCTATTTCCACTACTTCTACTATTTCAAGTTAAAAACAGCTTAGCTTTTCATAGACTGACACAGACATACTCATATATAGATACAAACATTAATACATGAAACAAAACCCCAAAGTTTTGTTTCATCAGAAACTTTCACATTCTGTTAAACTGTAATGCTCCTGTTAACCAGTTTATTAAAACTGAAACACAGATGTTAACCATTAAATACATTTAATCATCAAACCACTATGATATTAAAGATGCTACTTCTTTAGTGTCTGTAACAGTCTGTACACTCACAAATAACAGCTAATCATACTCTTAATGTAAAACTTGACTCCTCTGCATATTTTAGAGAACAGATGCTGGAGACACATGCAGTACTTTAGTTCTGTACTGAAGAGGGCATTCTAATGCAGCAGCTGATTTGATCTTAACAAAGACATTACAAACTCAATTTTTAATTCCAAAGTGATGAAAAAACTGTTATTTAAAACAAGTCTTACCTGCATGTGAAGATACAGTTTTTCTGTGGTGTCTGCTTGTTGTTCACAGAACAGGCAAACTGCACATACAGGATGCTCTTCCCAGTCAGACCAGTCTCTTATGAATAAAAGTCAAAAAGATTCATTTAATTGTGGAGAAGAGAAGACACATTTTGTGAAAGGGCCCTTCAGACTCTGCAGTTACAGGACTAGAAATAAATACAGGGAAACTGAGTACTTTAAAGGGGGCAAGAGACAGTGTGGATTTATAGCTGGATATATGATTACAAGTCTAAAAAATATTACAAATTCGAGAATAACTGAGCAGTTACTGCTGGGTAATTCCTGTGTAGACAGGCATTAAGTCCTACTTGAAACTGTTTGCACTAACAAACAGGATATTAACTTCAATTTCTATCCAGTTTGACAAGTCATCAAATATTGCTTTCACTATATATTTTTATAAAGTCTTTTAAAATTATATTATACCTTTCTAATATTTCAATACACCAGCCAAAGTCATAATCAGGCAGAGCTTACTCTGTTATTTACTTATTAAATATTAATTATTTCTAAAACACTAATTAATGCTACATTTAGACATGCACACAGAGAATACTTTACCAACAAATCCATTTAAAACCCTAGTACTGCTGAGAAATAGAAATATTCCTGCAACCAGGTATAACTAAGTAAAATAAAGTTTAAGTCACAGAGAGAACCAGGAAGATCAGGGATCCTGATACCCATTTACTTCCTGCTTATTCCATTTCCTACAGCCAAGGAAATCACCTCTGCAGTGATCTGAGGGCCTGGACCACAAAAGAACACAGATGAGATGGATGTTACCCTCAATCAGCACTGCTGAGAAGCTTCATTTGAAATCCTGCTTTAATCTCTAGTTATTACCTTTTTATCAGATTTTTTCCTACAATTTCTTTCTCATGCTGACATTTTTGATGCTTACTCCTGATACTTATATTTGAGCAAAAGCTGTTCAGCTGGTTTTTGGTACAAAAGTAAAAAAAAAAAAAAAATCCATTTTGTCTACATCATTACAAACCCAGAAGGCACTTGTTTGAGCCCAAGCCAAATGAAAAATAGGCTTGTGGTTGAAATATGAAGCTTACAGCCCTCATTGCTGAGATGTGGTTTTAATGAGAACAATTTGGAATTGATTTGATTGGCTTAGATGAATTTTAACTGCGTCCTAACTATGCACAGCATTTTCCCTGTAACTACTTTCAAAAATAATGGTCTTGCAAGCCTTTGTAATGGGCACATAAGTAACTCTTACTCTTCTAGGTTATCTAGTAATTCCCGGTCGTCCTCTGACTGCACTTCCTCCCAGGACTTTCCAAATTCCTGGGGAAAAAAAGGAAAGAAAACAATAAAACATTTCCCGATTCACATCACGATTTGTCAATCAACTGAATGAGCACCTCAGAAATCACAATAACTTATTTTGGATCACTTCAGTATTTCTGTGAGTTAAAGGCAGTCATACAACACTGCTTTAGCAATAATTTTAAAAATAATAATTATTTTTGTCTTTTAATAGGGCATTCCCCACCCTATGTCTTTGAAGAAGATGATTTGGCACAAAGTTCTCAAGAACAGTAGAGTATTGCAAGACTACGAGATGTTCCTGAGGTGGGTAAGTTATCCCTGTCTCAAGTTTGCCCTCACACTTCCTCAATCCAATCTGTCTACCTTGCTCTTCATGCAGCATATGCTGCTTAATGCAGCTGTCACACCTGAGACTTTTGTTGGCATAGCTACACCAGCCAGTGCTTGTTCCTTGTTCAAGGCTATGTCAGTAAAAACACATGGTAAACTTAGCTTCAGAGTACTCCAAAAAGACAGTGTGAGCCAGGGCATAGACCTCTCAGCTAGATTCCAGTCTGTCTTCCACCCTCTCCTTGTGAATGTGAGCACATCTATTCATGGTGTTCTGTTCTTCCTTTTACTTTTTGTGTTGTTTATTTATATCTTCAAGACCTTCAGCACAAAGTATATCACAATACCTTTGTGCAGCATTCAGCACAATAGCAAGGACTCTCAGCATGACTGAGATATAAATAACAGGCAATAAAGAGCTGAAGCGCTCTACTGAAATACCAGCAATGATCTTCAGCTAGTGTTTTTCTTTTCTTGGATTTTTCTTGTCTTTAAAAATAAACCCAAGCAAACTAACCAGTAATCAGAATAGTATTTTTGAACTCATATTTATGATGACTGTGAAGGACTCACAAAGATCATCATAGTTGAGGATCTTTTCCCCATTAAAAAAAAAAGGTAGCTAATAAAAATATAATACTTTAATTAATTTTATTCAATTATTCTTTGTAATAAATATATTTAATAACATCCCAGGTAACAAGTATTATTATTGCCTTTATGGTTGTTTGAAAAAAGAAGGAAAAGATTTAATCATCTAACAATTTTATGAGAATTTTTAAGGTTGTTAGTGTCTATCAGGAAAATGATAAACAATTGTCTCTAGACAGCTCTAAACCTAATGTCATCAAATATTACAAAATGAAAATTCAGTAATTAATTCAGTGATGCTACATGGTGGTGTGTAAACTGTCTGAGTTAGAGAGGAGACTCATTAATGTCACCATTACTGTGAGATAACATGAAGCCATTAACACCTCTCACCACATGTTCTCCCAGCTGCACACCAGTTTCCTGTGTCTGCTAATGTTAACACCTTAATGAGCGGATAGTGGCTCACAACCACTGCAAAATGAAGACAAATGCTCACAATTTTCCCCCTTACCAGCTTGAAGTATATGAGCACAAAAGACTATGTTCAAAACAACGGCCAATATTAAGTTTCACCTTTTAATTAAAGGTGAAAGGGAAAAACCATGCACAAACTTTATTATTGCTGCTGTTTCTTTATGGTGTTTCTGTGAAGAAGGCAAAGAGGAATCTTGTAAGAGATCTGTTTCCCTCCTTTATTTATATTCGGAGGAGAAAAAAAAGACGAAAAAGGAAAAAGCTAACCAGGTCTTGTATCACTGGAAAATTGCATGGTGAATGGATAACTAGGGACACTGTGCAAAGAGACTGAAGCTGAGCAATTGGGTGGAAAAAAGTTCTTTGAAACATTCTTAAAACTCTTTCAGTGGTTTTTTTTTTGGTTGGTTGGTTGGTTTTTTTGTTTGTTTGGTTTTGGGTTTTTTTGTTGTTTTTGGTTTTTTTAATTTTTCATAGTTTTTTTTAAAAACCCCTTTTCAGTTGCTTGATGGGATCAAGGATGCTTTTGTTAAGCATTCAACTTTCTTTGCTCATTCAACTTTCTTTGCTCTTTCATCCAAGATGCAGGAGTTCCCAGTAATCATCTCTTGAGATTCCCAAGAAATTCTTAACAAAACCAGAGAAAAAATGAGACTTGACTATTGTTAATAGTTCAAACAGTAGAAAATGCATAATTAAAAAACTGAAGGTCTTGCAATATATCCAAGAAAAAACAATTTTTTACTGTGTATCTCACAGAGAAGATGGTCCTATAGGAAAGTAAGGAGAACATGCAAATGTATGCATGCATTGATTATTTTCTGTTTCAAAATGAAGTCTAAATGCACAGAGATGAAATGCCTCACTGACAATTTACCTTCTCAACTTGTGTGCAGTTTTAAAGGTTCTACAGGGAGAAAGTCTGTGTGCCTCACTGAGGCAACAACACACCTCAGCTTGAAAAGAAGTGCTGAGATGGGAGAATCCAGAAACAGCAGCTGGTATCTCAAGCAGTTTTCCCTAAAGACCAGTTGCTGAACTACATGCAAATAGAGTTCCAGGCCTGTGGACCTCAGAAACTCCAAACAGATGCTGCTTTACTACATGTAATTTATCCTACTGCTAACCTGCAAGCAACAGAATATGTCAATGATATGGAGGTAAACAAATAAATGATATGGAAATAGATCATGATAGAAGTCATAGGAAGTTACAGAATATCAAAATATTTACAAAGGAATATGCACTTATGTTACTCACTGCTATGTGAAATCAGAAATTTAGGGGAGAAAATTGCCAACAAATAGACAGAAAAGGTAACTTATGTTATGAAAACAGTTTCTCACATCTGCACTACAAAAACAAATGAAGTCAAAAGCAGAATGGACGGAAAGGTAGAAGGCAGGCAAGACTACTGCTCTAAATGAAATCAATGGGAGCTCTGCCACCAGTTTAAAAGACAAGTAAGAACTGGCCAAAAGATCATGAGGCAATTCAGCAGACATTCTCCGGCCATCTGAACAAAAAGTCCTTAAAACTTCTTGGTACAAAAGCCACAAAATAAAGGAAACTGCCAGTTCCAGCTTAATAAGACTATTTTATGCAGTGCTTGGTGAAGACAATATGTCATGGAAAATTATAAAAAAAGGACAATAATGTCTGTAAGATGGTTGCAATAAAGAACTATCAATTTAAATAACTTAAGATCAATTGCTGATGGAAAAGCTCTATGGTGCACAGCCTAAAGGTAAAGTGTATAAGACTGTGACAATATTGATTTTTATCACTGGAGACCTACCTAGTTTTACAGTCTCTTTCTGATGAAAAAAAACCTTGATCAAACTGGAATATAGAAAGATCAAAATTAAAACTTCTGTGAAAAACATACAAAAAAATAGCTAAATTGTATGCCTACATCTTTAGGTTAAGGTGAATTCAGTAGCAAATTTTGAAACACTATATCTATCATTGCAGATAAGTTATGTAAACCATGTCTGTGTCTGTGAAATCGTATAATTCCCCTGGACATTAGGAGCAATGGGAAACACAGATCTTTAAAACTCATTGGTAAGTCAGTAAAGCTTCACAGCACACATTAAAAAAAATATCCTCTAGTGAGCTGTGAGGTGCTAAGGGAGAGGAAGCAAAATCACTCTATCAGGTAATTACAGAAAGCAGACCCTGTGTAACATCTAGAATTTAATGAATATAGATTCAGCTTCAAAAAAACATCCTATCACATTTAATATAATCTACTCTAGACCATATATGTGCAGTATGGAATGTTTTCTCCTTACTATGTAAAGGCCAATCTACTGAACTCTTATGAACAAACTGAGGTTTTTCCTTTTAATCTTCTTCAATTAAAGAAGGGGGTTATCAAAAGCTATTTGGAAAGCAAACACTTTCCACTACATAAGAACATTCCTAAAAATCTGCTGTGTGCAAATACACATTTTATAGTGAACTACCTTGTAAGTGTTTAAGACCAAGCTTTTAGACTGTTTTCAATCCTTATTTTTAAATAAAATCCTTTCTTTAAAAGATGTCAGCACTTCTGAAGTGGGTACAGTTCAAAGGATTACAAAGACTGAGTGGAAACAGTCCACTGAGTAGATTGTAGTGAACGACAACTGAAAATGTGTGGAAAGAAAACACTGCTGTAGCAAAGCATATAGAGCCAGACGTAGAATTGTGATTATCCGAAGCATCTCCCAGAAGATGCTCTGGAAGCACACTGGTACAAATCTTGCGCATGAAGACCTCCTTGCCCAAATATGCGTCTCTGAGTGACTAAGACACCCCGCAAAGTCCTGGCCAGAATACCAGGCAAAGAGGATCAAGGCCCTGACTGTTAAACTGTTTACATGTTCTGTGGCCATGTTAGCAGCATGACCCAGACCATGCTTAGATGTGGTTCAGGAAGCATACAGGCCCTTGAGATCATTGTCAGCAAACAGGATGGACAAGGCCACCAGTTTTGGAGCAACTGGAGAGAGTGGGAAAAGAGGTTAGGTATATGAATATTAGCCTTGCTGTTTTATTTACTTTGGCATATCTGCTTATTAACATGACACAGCCACTGTGTCTGTACTAATGTTATGACCTCCCTGTATGTCTCTCAAATTTTTCACATAGTACTTCATGGTTCTCTGTGCTTCTGGGCAGTCATCTCAATCCTAATTTCCTAATCTAAAATGGGAGAGATTAAAATCTGAGTAACGCCTATTTATAACCTGGATGTTAGCACATGTAGAAGGCACAAAGACTACTTCAGGTGAACTACAGTTATTTCTGGGACAGAACATAGCAGCTTTTGAAGCAGTTCCTATATTCACAAGTTGAAGGCAGCAAGTGAAAATCTGCTACACACACATGTACACACTCTCAGAGGTCTGAGATACAAAACTATTTAGCAACATACACCTACCTGGAGGCTAAAAACTAACAGTTTTTCTTTCATCTATGTATCTTTCATTTTCTTCCTCTTTGCATTATTTTATACTCTGAAGAGCACTTCCAGCTTAAGGTTTGTAGAAAACAAGCTCAAAGCAAATAGCATTCAAGCTACACCTCCATCTACTTCATTGCTCGATCTCATTTTCCCTTCTAGTTATTAAGGCAGAGATTGAGCACTAATGACATGATGATTAGTGTCTCTTCAAGCTACATTCTTGCATTTCTCAAAATCAATTCTCAACAACAAACGTTTACTAATGCTTACTTTGAAATTATCCAGAATATCATACCATAAATGAGCATATTTCTTAAGAGTACTTCACTTGATTTTTGACCTTTATACTAATTGCTAGTTTGGAATTACTCACTTTTAACTAGATATTGTCTGTATCTTTTTAGTCAATTTACTAATTATTCCTAGAACTACTTACCAAGTAATTAATGATATAAAATTTGTCATATTCTTTGTTTTTGGCATTGATTCTGCGATGCTGCTTCTTTCTCATGTGATCTTTAAGTGTGTTTTTGTCTCTGAAGACTTTTTCACAATATAAACACTGCAAACTAAAATAAAAAGGTAAACAGGTCAGCATATTAAAAGGAAAACAGTACAACATAATAACCTTTAATAAGCTGGAGTTACGTATAGTAAGATTAATCCTAAGCATGTGAAAGTAAGCTAAATAAAAAAGTTATTTGAAAAAAACACCAAAACAAGGTAAGCTTAGATCACAGTAGAATCAAACACAGAAATAACAACGACATAAAATGAAATTATAGATAATAAAATGTTACCTGTTGGCCCTCTATGCAAAGTGGGAGAAAAGTCTGAATACCCAAAATTGGCCTGGGAAGGCCATTGATTGGTCAACATGTGAACTCTTTAACTCAGCATACACTTACACTGGCATCCAACCCATCTGTAACTGTTTCTTTGTAATTCAGAGTGAAAAAAACACAATCTCCTGAACACACTACTTCTCTTTTGAAACAATTTAACTTAGCTAAAGAGAAAGTTTTTATGATTCTATCTCAAAAGAGAGGTTAAATGAAAGTTTGCCAGGGTGATCAAGGGGTTTTGAAATCCTGAGAAATAAAATTCAGTAAGTAAATTCATATACACATGCATACATACATAAATATATATATAAACTTCATATATATGGGTATACATACATACACATAAGTATATGCATATATGTACATACATATGTACATAGACATGAAGTATTATATATATGTGTGCATATACACATTACTTGACAAGGCGAAAACATTCATTAACAAATGAGAATTTTACCACAGTATGTCTTCCAGATCAATTCAAACAAAACAGAAGTATATGCACTGCCTTACATTGTCTCTTACAGTCAGCATAATAGAACTGTTCTGGTTCCAGATTCCCTTCAGCTCTTCTGTGTGGAGCGGCAATTCAGGATTCTCAGTATCTTTTTGCCTTCCAAGACATTTAAGAAGTTTTGATTTGTCCTTGTGCTTTCAGGCTTCAAATCAGTATTGCCTTGTTGGTGAATCATAGGTCCAATGGCAGAATACATCTGTGAATTTTAATATCTGCTTTGCTTTACCTGCTAACAGCAAAGCGTTTGCTCTACTTGAGAAAGGCATTCCCAGGAAGAGCGTGTAATGCTTTTCCTCAGCATACATAATGTCATCATATTTGCCTGAAACAAGATTTTTCTCCTCTTAATGATTTATTTTCAGGTACTATTCTACTAGCACAGCTACTAAGTCTATTCTTACAGGTAGGAGGAGTGGCCTTTCACTACTCTGACACAATTTCAGCATGTATGTAATAACTGTAGGGAGGATTAGCTTTGAGGAAACTCTATTTAACTGAAAGCCTCAGGTCCTACTGATAAATAGGAAAGATGCAAATTATCAGTGAGTGTGGTAATTCAGTGCATTAGGTAAGACCAATGATAAAAGAAAAGGCATTGTTAATACATCTTCATTCCTAGAAAAAGTTGACAAGTATCTATCCCTCTGGGATGTACTCTGTAAGCAGTACAGAAGGGAGAAACCACATATCCCACATTCATGATACATAGAGGCAAATGAACATTGGCACAAGAACTCTGTATTCAGTGATTAAAGAGACATTTAGTAAAAAGATTGTTATGATGAGAAGGAACATTAACAGTTATGATAAAAAGGCATGTGCTGTTATTGATGGAAATTGTGCAATGCATAACAACTGAAGAACCGCACATGACTTTTTCCAGCAAACACATAGTATGAATTGTTATGAATTAATTTTCAATAAGTCAAAAGAAAGACTAAGAGGACTCACAATAAACTTACATGCTGTCTTTGTTTCTTCTTAACTAACCATGAACGTTGAATTCATTTTAACCTAACCTATTTCCAAGGTTAAAATAAATATGACCCATGTTTATTGAAAAAATAAACAAACAAAACACTACTTACTTGTCAAGCTTCCCCTGTAATACAGCCAAAAACTCATAGCAATTCACAATATTATCTGGCAGTCCAATGTTAAAAGCATGCTCTCTTGCCATATGATTGAGAAGGACAGATCTAGAAACGACATTCAAATAGAACATTACATATTTTTGGATAAATATGAGACTTATTCAATTAGTGATTTCAAATACACCAATTGCTCTAAAAATGCATAAAAGCCAACATTAAATAAACAATAATAGTCTTGCTGCCACTCCTAGGAAAAAAGAATGCAACTTTATTGAAACAGGAAGTTATCATTTTCAGCTCCACTGCATTCAGTAACATTTCAGCCGCTCAGTCTGCATACACGAAGTATACTACTTTAAATGAAAATTATAGTACAGTTTATTTTGACTCTCACTGTTAGGAAAGCTCATTTATTAACTTGTACAAGCAAATCACATTTCAAACAACCCTCTTGAGAAACATTTTAAAAAGCCATTTGTCAGTTTTCTCTATGCTGGTTAGAAGAGCAGAAATTCTTGGATGTGATATTGCTTCATACAGCACTCAAAAGTACACACAACAGCACTCAAAAGTACACACAAACAAACATAATGGATGTTCAAATAAGCTATTTTTCTTATAAAGATATACTGGTTAACTCCTTAGGTGCTCAACCTCTCTATATGCCTCAGCTTCTGCTTTTGGAGACTAAAGAAACATGTGAGTGTTGATATTTACTTTTACCACAGTCCAGCACTTTTTTAAATCCATGCATTCTATGTGTCAGACCCAAGAGTAATCAGAGGATGAAGTTCCTGTGGGATGAATGATGTGAACTTCACCAAACAGCGAAGAGAAGAGGACATTCACACAACACTGGGACAACCTGCAGGCATATGACCCCAGGTTCTCCTACCCTTCCAGAGTACCAGACCTAACCATGCAGACTCAGTTTCTCCAGCTGAAACTGATTTACTGTGTACAAACAAAGTATATTGGGTCTGGCTGCGATGGAGTTCATTTCCCCATAGCAGCCCTCACAGTGCTCTGCTTTGCATTGGTAGCTAGAAAGGTGTTGATAACACACCAGTGTTCTGGCTACTGCTGGGCAGTGATGGCACAGCATCAGCACTGTCCCTCAACCTTCCCCCTGCAACAAGGGACTGGAGGTGGGCAAGATCCTGGGAGGGGACACAACTAGGACAGCTGACCGAAATTAACCAAAGAGATATTCCATAGCATATGACATCAGCTCAGATACAGAAGCTAAGGAAAGGAGGAGGAAGGAGTGGGGCATTCATTATATTTCCTTCTGGAGCAGGTGCTACATGTGTTGAAGCACTGCTACCCGGGAAGTGGCTGAACATTGCTTGCTGATGGGAAGTAGAGAGTAAACCTAATTTTTTTTTCTCTTTGCTTGTGTGTGAGCAAACTTTTGCTTCTGCTTTAATAAGCTGCCTTATCTTGGTCTATGAGTTTTTCTCCATCTTATTTTCTCTCCCTTGTCTGGCTGGGGAGTGATAGAGTGGCTGGGTGAGTACCTGGAGTCCAGACAAGGTAAACCCACCACACAAAGTTTCCTTAGAGCAAGCATCTCAATGCAATCCTTGCTCCTCCTTGACTGATCCTGCAAAGTGCTCCATTCTCACTCTAATTTTTCTCTCCTCTTTGGCGAGGTTTAAATAGGAAAATGTACAACTGCATAGAAATATTTTTTAACAGTTATACTGGCTTAAGCAGGTCCCCTTGCCACTAAAACAACTGCCAAAAAACCTGTCTCTCTTTAAAACAGCTGGTTCCCAACTCCAGCTTACTGTGTAGTACAAAAAGTTGTTTTGGAATGACAGGGTCTATTTAAAGTGGCACTGCAGTTGAAAAAAATACTCAAACTATACCTTAAAATTAATTCTATCTTCCGAGTCCTACCATTACGCAGTAACTGGTTTGATGACACTAAAACCATAAAGAAAGGTGCTGAGTAGATATGAAAAAAATACACCAAAAGTAAATAGGGCAATAAACAAACCTGTTTCCTGTGAATTCTTGATCGCAGAACATACACATACTATGAAAACTTGTGTCACATCTCTCTTGTTGTTGCTGTTCTAGAATTTCTCTCTATGAAAAGAAACAGATACAGTTATTCAGATAAAACCATAATCATAAAATCATTGCATCACATAAGCTTATTATACATCTTTACCTTTACTGGTAAAAATGAACATATAAAATTCAAATGTGCGGCTGACACAAACCAGATGTTAGTATTTTTTGAGTGTAGGTTCTCACAAAAAGTTTTTTCAAAAGCAGTTTGTGCTCCAGTCAAGTTCTAGTAAAATTGTCCTAACATTATATGCGTGGTGCCTGGAAAGCAATACAATCCACAGTAATGCAGCAGTTTTAAATAATTCTGTATAAAATATAACAGTTTATGATTCATATTTACCTCTGGTATCAGTGAGCAAGTTTATGGATAGTCACCTAACACCCAGTGGAATGACAGACTCAGTTCTATGTGGCTAATTGCTGGCAACCTAGAGGGCTTTTTCATAATATGGGACCATGACAACAGCCCTGGCAGTTTCTGTAAGAAGTCATGGCACATATCAAACCCCAGGAAAAGGAGAAGGTGATTGCCTTCACCCTGGTTCTGTTTAAAGCAGTGCAACAGGCTAGGCTGGACACTTTACAACACTTGATGCACTTTTCCTAACAACAATAAAACCAAGCAGCAGATGATTTTTCTCTGGTGCTGTAACAGGAACAATGTTTTTATACCTGGAATTATTATGCACTTCAGATAGAAAGGTCATAATCAGCTGGGATATGGGAGAATTTGGATTAAAACTTAGCGTATTTTCAGCCTAGAAGCATACTAATCCGTAGCTGTGTTTTAAGTACAGAGAACCGGGAAAGGATTTAATTTCTGTGCAACTTAGAGGTGCTTCTGCCTGCTTTCTGACATTCAGGATCCTGACTGAATTTCTTAAGGGATTTTCTCAAACTCTTTATCTCCTTAGAGCCTGCAGTGGAACTTTGTGTTTCTCACCTGCCTCTTCAGTAACTCTTTTATGTGGATTAAGACCCAAATTTGTCTGTAGTCTACATCTAAGTTATATTCAACTACACCTGTTGGATAAGCTCCATAGATGTCAAAAAAGAAGGAAAAGAAACAAGAAAGGAAAGACACACCCCCTCAGCCCTAAAAGAAATAAGAGGAAGGCTTTAGCTATTGTCAATAAGGGCCCAAATGTGTCCTGCAGTGTGGATGGGTTGGTGTGGGATGTACCATGCCACATCCCATTGCCCACTGAGGGATGGCAGGAGGCTGACATTAAGCAAATAAATGTGCTGTTTCTCTTCCACAAGAGCAGCATGCTGCACCCAGCGAGGGGCAGTGGGGCGATAAGGATGCCTGTCAAGAGCACAGGAGTGTGTGGCACCCGACATACACCTGGCCTGGGGCCTGTGGCTGCCAGGGCAAATGGGGCACCATGCCACAGACCCTTCCAGGGCCCGTATTCAACCACACTACTTGGCAGTTGTAGCTGTTGCACATCAGCTAAGAGTCTGTTACCCTGAAAATACAGATGCTGGGGCTTGGTTTTTGTACTACATGGTGTACATTTTATGTTGGAATCATGCCCACCAGCACCTACTCACATTTTAGGCCATATCCACTCATGTCCTGCTATGTTATGCTAAACATCAAATAAAAGAAATATGTATTCCTATTTTTCAGGGCTGACTCTGGAAGGTGATAAACAGAGCGTAACACACCTTGTCAGAGCCCTTCAGCAGAGATGCAATTAAGCAAGACTATCTGTTTGCTCCATGCGGGCAGCAAACATCCCACAGCACGTCAGTGCTTTCTCTGGTACATGTAGCTGCCACTCTCACCACTCAACAGCATGTTTGACCCTGTTGGGCTAACCTTGGATTTGAAAGCATCTTCGTGTTTCTATGCTTTGTAGAACACATTGGAAACAATCTAAGCAGATGTGTACAATTCAAATATAAAGATAGCAAGGGTTTAAACACTCCCAACCTTTCATTAATGACATTACAGTGTAGCTTCCTGATTTTAATTTACTAGGAGGGAAAAAAAGTGTTCTGCAATATTTGGCTGCCTAACTCCAGATTACCGAAGCCCTCATGAGCAGCTGCTCTCAGGTATGTTTGAGGAGGAAGGAGAAGTGTACTGTGTTCTCCACACAGACAAAGCTACTGCTCCACTCCCTCATCCTTCCCATTTCCCTCTCCACCAGCATGCTTGGCAGCTGGGAAGCTTTGACTAACCCTGCAGTATTTTCCAGAGTAGACATTACTTTTACCTAATATTGGCATTTTTTATTGCTAGCGGAAACTTTCCAAGCCAGAAAGGAATTCTGATACTTGCACAGGTGAGGAATTAAAAGCACTGGTTTGAGTCAAATACAGCAAAAGCAACAGGGCTGCTCTTCTTCCCTACAGACATTTCCAACCCTCTACTTCATTGCTGGGAGCAGCAATTACAATAACTTACATAAAACTTCTGAGATTTTTTCTGAGCAGAGACATTCAGCCCATAATGAAAGTCAAGCAAAAACTGAAGTTATGAGGCAGGAAACTAGTAATTTACTTAAATTCTTGCACCAGCTTCCAACTCCTTCAAATTTTTGGGGAGGTCAGCAGTAATGCATTGCTGATACTAAGACAAAATACCCAAAACATTTCAGCCATGAAAATTTCCCAAAACTTTTTTAGGATTCTGAGTCATATCAAAGTGTCAGAGAATGAGAAGATGAAGTCATTTGAGGAAAAAGCACATATATGATTTTCCATAACGAATAAAAGAATTAAGCAGGATAATCATCTTTAAATATACCAGCACACTAAACTGCTATTTTAAAAGCAATTTGATAATTTGCTTCACAATTTGTAACTTGGATTTCAGAAAAATGTCCCACACATTCATAATGCTTAGTTTGAGGTTGTGAGGAGGAGCTGACTTTCTCCTAGGAGGGGGGAATTTTAAAAGTGCCTGTTCCTCTCCTGGGAAGCAATATTTTGGAAGAAATTATCTGCTTTTTATCCAGAAACACTTAAGTACTATGCATCAGTAAGAATTCACACTGATAATCCGTAGAAGATGAAAAAGGCACACTTGCAGCTAGTAAGAACTTTTCCCTAAACGATTACTTCATCTCTGGTCTATAGCTCAAGAGATATTCAAGACATACAAAATGCCTTCAAAAGGTAAGACTAACAATTCCACTGAATGCCAAAAGCTATGGACTTAGGACAGCTGGTTTTATGGCACATAAGACTCTTCTGATATTGTAATTGCTATTACCCTTCTTTCCAACAGACGCTATATCCCAGGTGCTAAATTATCTTTATTTCTGTTAGATCACTGGTTCTTTTGTGTGCCATAAGCTTCTTTACTAACAAGGCCCTCTTAAATAATTTATGTAGCTATTTAAATGCATGGCTTGAATCATTGACATAGAACAACCATTCACAGCTAGTAATCAGCACAAGTTTTGCTGCTTTTGATTCCAAACAGAAGAATTTGTTGTCAAAATTTTGCCTGTTTTTTTCCAGCTACATCAGTTGTCTGACAAAAAAAGGTATTTCTTTTCCCAAAATCTGTCTCTTTTATAATCATAGCACTTATGAGAGAAAAGAAATTAAGGCAGAAAGTAGTTCTCTAGTTCTAAAAAAGCAGCAGATTGCACTATGCAATTTGGGACAAGATTGCACAGCGAATTTCTGACTACAGTAAGATCTGAGCTTATTCCTCAGTACAGGAACCTGCTTGTGCAGTGGAGAATGGATTCTGGAGGTTAGTCTGTAAAACAGAGCTAACAGCAGTATGTGTCTTCTTCTTTTTTAAAGATTTCTGCCATAAGCACTAAATTTGTGCCATATGCCCTAACAAGGCAAAGTGCAAAATTTCTATTCCAAAGGCATAAGCATACAAGTAGTCTCAATTTTAAGTACTGTGTTTCAGCACTGCTGGCTTGTGGCAAGAACATTTTGTAGTTTGGGGTTCTTTTTGGCATCCATCTTGTTAGCTCTGGTCCTTTGCTCTCTCCCCTCTCTAGTCAAACAACTACAAAGACAGCCTGTTATACAAATGATCACTTGTGAGAAGGTCCATTGAAAACTTTTTATAAATGGTGCTATACCCTCTGAGGAGGTATTTTGCCTGAAGATGTTCTTTTGACAAGGAAACTTCACAACTGTTACAGTGTGAAGGACTCAAACATCTGAGCACTCAGTCACACTGTTGTGAAGAGTGCACAATCACAGGTCACATTACTTCTGTTATGATAGCAGACTCATTAATACTACTAAAATTGGAGTGTCTGTCTGGGAAATAACCTACTACCAGAGATAGCAATATTGGTGAGAATTTGGATCTAAATAATATAAGACAGAGACTTCACAATATGACCATGTATTTCTATCAAGCTCTCCTAGGTGATCTCTCAAACACACAGTGTGTATCTACAGTTTCTTCCAATTTAAATAAGAGATACATTTCCCTGCTAAATGCTCACAGAAACTAGCTAATGTTGTACGCAAAGAAAGCAAGTGAAATAGATTCTGGTTTAAGAACAAAACAGAACAAAAAATCATGCTGACAGATCACAAGAATAAGCTGTTTATACACTGGCAATAAAACAAACCAGCACAGTACACTCAGACAAAGATTAGGATTGGTGACACCTGAGATGCACTACTGTCTCTAAAACCTTGCCAACCAAATTATTCAACAAATATATACACAATTATATATATATTTATTAAGATGAAGTACTTTTGGAGTAAGACAATTTGGTTTTGTGTCTACAGTTTTCTCAAAGATTGACTAATAAACTTTAGATAGTGCTTGTAGCTGCTAAATAGGAAAAATAGTCATGAACAGTCATGGTATCAGAAACTTCATGTCCTTGTAAAGACCTGCAATCTTATCTGTATATCAATAACTTTCTCCTAATGTCTTATTCAGTTTCTCTTCTTACTGATCACTATATTCAGCTCTCTCACTTCAAACAGTATTCTCCTGCCTCTTGTGTACAGAAAAAACCCCAACTTTAATTCTGTAATCATTATCATGTCCTCTCATA